GATGACAAACCTTTCCGTAAGCGTTTAATGTTTTTTTAATGGTCATTTTTTTGTCTTTATCTCCACAGTCCCGCAGGTCGCGGGATCAAATCCCGGCTGTGGCGGCTGCATTTCCGATGGAGGCGGAAATGTTGTAGGCCCGTGTACTCAGATTTGGGTGCACGTTAAAGAACCCCAGGTGGTCAAAATTTTTGGAGCCCTCCACTACGGCGTCTCTCATAATCATGTGGTGGTTTTGGGACGTTAAACTTCACAAATCAATCAATCATCTCCACAGCTACGCACACAATGCAATGAAAGGTTCGAACACGGTGTTCCACGCAGTGAACCCTTATGACGTAACAATATACTACTCAAACAACGACCCATTGCTCGACGTAGCGCTTTCCACAATACAACTGCATATAATGGACCCTTCCCCTACCGTACTGAACAAAATTTTCCCTTTGCTTGGTGGTTCACTCATGATTTCTCATCCTTTGTCCCAGTAACTTCGTACCGATAGCCGCACTATGCAGGGGAAGTTTGTCTTCAGCACACACACACACACACACACACACACACACACACACACACACACACACACACACACACACACACACACACACACACACACACACACACACAAACCACACCGTATTCGCACCTAGTGCATATCGTTTTAAACCGATTGCGTGAAGGTACGGGTTATTTAGAAGTGTAGCTAAGTCTTCCCATCGGTTGCGTTTACGCTTTCCATCAGCATCTTTCTGGATTTCTTCAAGCTCCTATTGCAGGCGTTGGAACTGTTTGAAACATCAGGGAGGAAGTCACGTCACTAAAACAAGCACCACATTTTAACAGCAGTGGTACTGAGTAGAAGATTTATTTAATTATGGTTACCCGGGTCTAGCAACGTAAAAGAAGTTGCATAGGATTCCGATAGAATTAAGCCATGCCACAATAACTGCCGACGCTAACGCGAGAAGGTATTCCATAAGTGAGCAACGCCACGGTAAGTAAGAAGAAAGAACAAGCTAATACACTAAAATCAACTCTTCAAAGATGGGATGCATTAACGGCTAACTGAGATGATCTACGAACTTGCCCATGCAGTGTCTGCCGTTTCAAAGCGTCACGGGTTTTATAGATTATTGCCCATCATCATCATCGCTGTCCGCCGCTTCAGAAGTGTGGCGGTTTGGGCTAGTTGGTATGACATGACGGTAGATATAGCGCGAGAACAGAATGACGACAAAGGGCAAGAAGGAGACGAGCGTTTGTCTACTTGTTGGCCCTTTGTCGTCGTTCTGTTCTCGTCTACTTCTTAGCCCTTTGTCGTCGTTCTGTTCTCGCGCGCTATATCTACCATCATGCCGTTTCAGAGTCCCGTATTTCCGAAATAATTTTATGGCTTGTCTATCCCAGCGTCGTCACTGCCCGCTTTATGAAAGCGTCGCATATTTCCAACATTAGACTTACCCACTACCATCATCACTTTCCGACATTTCAAAGCGTCGCGCATTTCGGAGGGGATCCTTCGCCTTTTCTATCGTCATCGCCGCTGTTCGCATGCAATTTCAAAGGGTCGCGTATTTCCGAGATACTCCTCCGTCTCGTATACCGGCTCGCCGCTGTCCACCGTTTCGAATTGTCAATTACGAGATAATTCTCCGGCATGCCCACACTCATCGTCACTGTCCATTGTTTCGCATTAACACGTATTTCCGAGATCATTCTCGGCTTTGTCCACCGTGATCGTCGCTGTCCACCGTTTCGAAGCGCTGCATATATTTTAGGGACGTGGGGGTTTCGCATGACCACTTTCAGAGACATCACGCAACACTACAGACTGAACAGATGCAAATATCCACCACCCCACGCCAAACTAAACAAGAAACAGCAGGTTGCCTGGAGACAACTACAGACACACACGTACCCGAATCCGGTGATCCTTCGCCTCTGCTACCCAGGCATTTATACGTCCGACGCGTGTAAGGCGTGCGGAGCCAGAGCGACGCTGCAGCACATGCTGTGGAAGTGTACCGGTAACGCGCAGCAGTCCCCTACGAACCCGGTAGACATGGCGGTCTCGAACCGCGAGGCGCGATGGGAGGCGGCTCTGCTCAGCCACGACCTTGCCGATCAACTGTGGGCCGTCCGGCATGCCCAGGATGCCGCCCGGGTCCAAGGACTCGAGGCCGTCACCTAGGCCGGGGTGCTTGTAGCCCCACCCCGCTCAATGACGCCGGACATGTTCAATAAAGTTTTTACTCACTCACTCACTCCTCCGGCTTGTTCACAGATATCAGTGCCGTCGACAGCTACAAAACGTCGGGCATTTCCGGAATGATACTTCGGCTTGTCCACCGACATCATCGCTGTCCACCGTTTCAAATCATCCCGTATATCCGAGATTATTCTCCCAATTGTACAGAGCCATCGTTCTCATCCACCGTTTCAAAGCATTGCGTGTTTCCGAGATTAGGCTTCGCCTTGTCTGCCGGCGTCGTCACTGTCCGCCTTTTCAAAGCATCGCGTATGCCTCAGATAATCTTCGGGGTTATATAACGAGGTCGTCCCTGTTGGCCGTTTCAAAGAGTCGCGTATTTCCGAGTTGATCCTTCGGTATGTCCACCGACATCATCACTGTCGACCATTTTAGAGCACTGAGTACTTCTGAGATAATCACTTGGTATGTCCACTATGAGTATTGCTATCCGTCGCTTTAAATCTTCACGCGTTGCCAAGACGATCCTCCGACATGTGCACTGCGATAATCGCTGTCGCTGTTTCAAAGCGTCGCGTATTCCTAAGGTGATCCACCGGCTTGTCTACTAACACATCATCACTGTCTGTCCTTTCAAAGCGTCACGTGTTTCTGAAAAAAATCATTCGACTTGTTAACCATTATTATTGCTTTCCGCCGTTTCAAGGAGTCTTGAATTTTATACTCTGGCATGTCCACCATCATCGTTACCTGCCACCGTTTGAAGCCTCACGAATTTGCTTGACAATACTCCGGCTTAACTACCATCATACTCGCCGGCAGTCATTCCATAGCGTCACGCATTTTCTAAATGGTAGTCTACCGTCGACATCGCTGTCCACCGTTTCAGACTATCATGCACTTTCTAGATAATCCACCAGCTTGTCCACCGTATAGTTGATTGATAGTGGGGTTTAACGTCCCAAAACCACCATATGATTATGAGAGACGCCGTAGTGGAGGGCTCCGGAAATTTTGACCACCTGGGGTTCTTTAACGTGCGCCTAAATCTGAGCACACGGGCCTACAACGTTTCCGCCTCCATCGGAAACGCAGCCGCCGCAGCCGGGATTTGATCCCGCGACCTGCGGGTCAGCAGCCGAGTACCTTAGCCACTAGACCACCACGGCCGGGCCACCGTATAGTTCTCCGCCGTTTTAAAGGGCCACGAATTTTGCTGATAATCTTCTGGCTTGTCAACGATCGCCGTCGCTGTCCGCTTTTTAGAGCGTCATGCATATTCTAGATGATCCTCTGCCTTGTACCCCGTCACCATTGCCCCTCACCGTTACGAATCTCGTGAATTTTCAAGGTGATTCTCCGGCTTTTTCAATGCTATAGTTGCTGTTCACTGGCACAAACCATCACGCATTTTCTATATGAGGGACCGGAAACCCATTGAGACGTAGGGCCAAGTTGCATCTAGCCGACATCGTTTTCTTGATTTGCCGAGTGAGTTTTACCTCAACTCATCGTGCTCACATGTTGTGACGGGATCTGAATGAAGTGGGCTGCCCTTCACAGACGTTTGACCACTGGAAGTAGCCGAGTGTCGAGCCGAGCGACGCCTGTGCTCATTTTAAAAAAACTTGTGGGTATTCGGCATCACGTGGATTTCAACCCACGACCTCCCGTATCCGAAGCGGACACTCAACCACGAGGCCATGGTTGCTGTCATTTGGTCCCAGTTGGTGCACATTTTTGACGTAAAAGTGACAGAGGGAAACACACAAACTGTCTGACATAGAAAATACAGGGCACGTCGCTGTCCTCCGACCTAAGACGTGACGCATTGTGTAAGTGATTGTCCATGGTCATCGTCGCTGCCTCTCGCTTTCCAAAAAGCTTCACTTGGTCCCAGTTAGTACATATTCCTGAGACAAAGATAACAGGGCAAACACACAGGACCCCGACGTAAAAAAAAAGACACTGATACACGGTGAATTAGAAAAGAAAGTTTCACATAGCTGTTTATTTTTTCTTATTTGTATACGTCGTTTTTATTGTATACGTTTTGTTTTATTTACATAGAGTGCACTTGAACTATTTTATAACAAGGATAGGGCATATATTGTTAGAGAAACTTGGCAGGATGACGCGGAATGTGCATAAGAAGCCTATAGTGATGAGTTATGAAGTCACAGTGTTTACTCAAAATAATTGAACGTTTGTGCGATTCATTTGAACTAAACGTCACTCCGAGTGTACAACATACAGCAAACGCGTATTTTAACGCAACACGTATCTGATGATTCGCAAGCGTTCTTATGTAATTTCACGCCGCTGAAACGCGGTGAAGTTTGCGACAAGATGACGCAATTTTCGGCTACCACAATTGCAATATATTACGGCGTATGACTGAGACATGACAATGAGCGAATCAACATAACAACAGGGTGTAGCGATGTGACGAAAATTGTGCCCATGAACGTACTTGGCTTCCTGACTGCAAGCATGCAGGAGGAACACTCTGCGTCACCTCTAGATGCGCAAATAAAATAGCTCGGCACCCAATAATTTGCGAAAACTAACATCCAAGTCTCAGTTGGACGTTCCAAGTCAATTATAAAAATCGCAATGCTCTCACAACTCGTCGCCGGCATAGTCCAAGCCGTAATACGACGAGTGAAAGAGACCGCCACTGTGGCCCGTTGCCCGGAGTTTGATGCTGTGGCTCGGGTTTAACGTGTATAGCATGATATATCAGTGCGTCCAGCGCATGCATCACGGTTTGCAGGAAATGACGAAATGTTCAGAATTCGGTCGCTGACTCATCGCGAGCTGGTTCACGCTTCGGCGACGAAGGTCTGCGCCTGGAGTGCGGTGACGAGGAATGATGCCTCGTCCGGTGATGCTTCTCCCTCCTAGAAGACCCCGAGCGCCGCGACCTGTGGACGCTGTGGGACGGTGGCGAATCCACGGATCTATGCTCTTTACTCGTAGTCATCTGCGTCTTGTCGTGGTCGTCGGATTCGCCTTTCACGCTAGAAAGTCCCGCGGAGTCTGCATTTATGCGCTTTCTGACGTCCTCGTCACTGGTCGTGGCCGGAGCTCCAGCTGCCTGCCGGTCGAGGGCAGGAGGCGCAGATTTTGCGCAAGTCCTCGCCGACTCGTCGCTCGAATAGGTATTAGCGACTTCCGTTTCTGTAGGTGGCGCGTGCTCGTTCGTGATCGGGCGAAAGGCGATCATTTCCGGGTTTGAAGCGACGATGCCTGGCGTGGAGCGTCGATGAACGATGCTGCCGTTCACAGCGACGCCGTTGACGGTTGCCTTGGAGGAGTCGGCTGATGCCACGAGACCGTTGATTCGGGGTTTCTCGTCACTGGAGGCGAAGCCCGGATTGTCCTTTCCCCCGGTATAAGCGTTCTTCGATCTTCCCAGTTCGATCATGTGCTCGACATCGTACTCGCCCTGCACAGTAAAGATGGCATGTCATTTATTAAGTGTACACGCATTAAAACATTGAGACTTTCAGTCAACATTTTGCTCAGTACTCTCAACGTATAGATCTTGCAGCCCCGGTCAGTGGGAGTCACAGCCTCGAAACAGCAAGGCTTTCTTTGCATGTACACGCATTAATAGAATATCTATGGAAGAAACAAGATAATAAAAGTACAGGGACACAGCATTATTCAGACGTCGTGCCTGTTCCAGCCGGACGTGGTACATAGGGGACAATATCAAACACTTGCTCAATTGCCTGTCAATGTGTACATGCGAGAGTTATAGTGAACGTATGCGGCAAGCTTCAACGTACGCACCTTGAAGCACAGCAAAGTGTATATATAGCGCTGTATATACCTCAGTGTACAAGCGCCGTTCAATGGTATCTTATACGTTCCGGTCGTTAACTTTGACTGCGATGCGAAAGCGTTTGGTGCATGTAACACCGAGGTGGTACCGGTACACCTGGGGGGGGGGGAGGCTCAAATGAAAGTGGTGTGAGAAAGTTTGCAGCTCTATGGCGACTCCAAAACTGTTATACTCCTTCCGCTCGTGAGCTAGTTCTAATTCTACTGTACATATGCGTTTTATAGAAGCGTGAGGGTCGTGGTACGGTATGGCTGGCGTGCCATAGCAGCGCAAGTTGGACGTCAACAGAATGGAAAGAAGCAAGATAAGCGCTGCAGCCATTTTTTTTTTGCGTTGCGCACTTGAGAACGAGACAACTGCAGAACGCATAGGTAGCGTGTCCTTCTAAGAGTTTTAAAGAAAATCGCAGAGGAGCAATGATGCACAGACGTCAAACATTTTACCTAGGTCGGGTGCTATGCACTAAATTATTTTTCACTTTCGCCATATAACAATAAAGTCACGTTACAGTCAGCCCTTTGGCTGGTTCGGGTGAGTGAGCGAAGTAATATTGTTACGTCAGGAACAAATTCATTCATATAAATTCACAAAAATGAGAATTTCCGTCATCCTGCAAGGTCGGCTGAAGATACGCGGACATAACGCTTCTTCATCTTCAACGAGTACCGCCACTTTTTCAATACGTTCTGTGCTTTACAACTCAAGCCTGTTTTAGAAGCTATACAAAATGGTAAAATGTGAAAGGAAAATACAGCGCAATCATTGTTTGGCCGTAAGTACAATCCTTTGGTTTATATGTCTGAGATGCTTATTCATACTTACTTTATCGATGGAATATGTTCTCACTTCTACGGATTTTTTCAACACCCTAATGGTACATAGTGTGTAAAACGAGAGTGCAGTGCTGTTGTAAACGCAGCCTCGTTCAACGCCACTGTGTCACGAAACCGATGTAGGTTGTTACTGCTTCATAATAGTGGACATGCTGCGAATGGGAACTGCGAACTTACGAATTTGTTTAATTACTTTCTGGAAACGTCGTTCTCTAGTTCCTTTCAATGACGGTACCTTGTGGAGGAATCGTGATGACATTAATAAATTAATTCACTTTGCCGAACAGGCTTTTTCATTCTCTTCTATATCAGAAACCTAGCTTTCTGATGTCGATGCTGTGCTATACTGCTTTTCCCCGTACAACAGCTCGTAACCTCCAAATAAAGAATAAAAGAATAAATACTGAGTGCGGTCACCGCCAATCTGACGCTCATGGAGACTGAGCCACTTCTATTTTTCTTGACAATAATTACAGACGCGGAGTAGATCTTTCCATTGACATCCCGAATTGCAAATTAGTTTGTATTTAAATTGAGGAGCCTAATTTTACACACAATAAAAAATTAATACTTGCAAGTACTTATTGATCTTTTTCTTCCTCGCTCGCTCAATTCTTACCGGCTCTTGAGACCATCCTGGACAATCTATCACTAGGAAACAAGACATTTTGTATGCAGGTGGTATCAACATTCACTTATATTCTCATTCGAATAGTACCATTCCATATAGTGATAGAATTTTATATAGGATACAGATTAATGTGCCTCATTGATTCGCACACTAGATCTAACACACGTGACGAAAACACTCTTCTAGATCATTCTTTCTCTAACGTTATAGTCCTCAAGTGTCCGGAGTAGTTGGTCGATACCAGTGATCAATGTCTCGTCTTCATGACATTTGAAAGTCCTGTTTCTCGAATTGACACAACCTTTACTGCGATGGTTTTTGACCGAGAATGTTTTATCACGGCTATTTCACAATGTGACTGCACGGTACAAAGCCAGCTCACAAATGAATCCACAGTCAGGGGTTGATATATTTTTTATCTTTATTTTCAGAATCTGTTTCTGCAAGTGCTTATACCGCTGGCTCTCAGAAGACATACCAAAAGCCTGAAGATGGGCTCTGCATTGTTAACGAGTCTAAGAAAGAATTATAGTCTCTATAGTAAAGTAAAGAGATCGCCCTTCGAAAATGCTCTGGCAGTAAACATGAAATCGATCTTTATCTGCTTCTACCAAGTGCCTAATAAAAAAAATATGAATAATGTTTTTCTTTTACCACTTGATCCTTGGGACCGCTATTCTTACTGGACGGCGAGTCTCGTTATGCGAAGTTTCATACACGAAAGTAAGGCATATCTTCTATTCCTTTACTTAGGTGTCACCGTTCTGAGAAAAGGGGCGTCAACTGTAAAAAAACACAACTGCAAAACGAAGCCACCTGGTCAACCACGCTGCATTCAAAAGGGTGCCTTCCCAATACATAATAAAATAGGAAAGCAAATTGAATGCTTTTTTTTCTCTTCGATCTAAGTCTAATGCAAAGCATATAACGAAGCTATGCACGAAGCGCCGTCGAAGCTATGCAACCAGCTGCAAGCGTAAGGTATATTCCCCGAGGTATATTCTCGACCGCTTCGACGTTATTCTGATAAAAATAGGATGCAAAACGCTGGTTTAGTAAGCTTTCGGTGGGCGTTACCAGCCCGTCGGCGGGCAGAGTTATTACGCGGCGTCTTCCAATGCATGAATAAATTTCGCCTCCAAATCTACGATCCTCTGAAAGGCTTCCTGCTGGTGCACGCAACTGCACGTATGTGCTATCCCGAACCACTGGCAGCGACTCTCAGTTGTATCGCTTATCTCATGAAGTTAATTTTGTGCCTTCACATATTTCTTCACCGTGGCGATATGACGTTTGTTAAGAAAGCTACAGCGCGGTATCCGTACTTCAGCTTGACACCCGCTTAAAGTGAGATAATACTGCTAAGGTTCATGCGAAGTGGCAATCAACATTCGTCAAAGTGTGGTGAAATGAGAGTCGAAAGCAATGAAAGAAGTTACCTCTTCCCGTAATACTGAGTGTAACGTAAGGCTCGTGATTGACGAACGCCAGAGAACCATTTGCAACTGGCGACCAGTCAGCAACTTGAGGGCACCATTCCTCACACCAGCAAGTGTGGGCGATGGTTGACTGGGAACGACGTTTTCTAGTAAAATGAGCAGATGTCCTGCTCTGGCTCACTTTATAGGTCCAGAAGTTTTACCACTATACACTCGCACCTATGAGAAAATCAAGCTGCTGGCCCATTCAGTCGCTTCTCGACCAAGGCGACCATTTTTGCTTTGCGAACAACTCGATCGCGCATGCAAGTCGCTGGTACGAAAGAGCTATTACAGAACGGGACCTATGTTTTGTTATGTTAGTTTTACCATATCGTTCATCACAACTTTTGAGCGTACGATAAGTGTACGGTGAGGGCACTAATCGATCCCTAGTGAAAAATGAAGATGGCACAGGCACATCACCAACCAGTAAATATGACTATAGTGATCGACAATGTAGTCCTAGTACAGCGAACGAATGGCTCGAAAGGTGAACGCTGTTAGATGTTTAGTGAATAATTCAGCTTTAGCCATCGCGAATTGGAAACATGGCTTACGTAGATAATTTGTTGGCTGAACAAACGTCAACAGCGCACGTCGCTAATTTACGTTGTCAATAAAAGCATCAAACATTCCTCAGTGTTTGGTCAACTATTTTCCCTGCTTGTATTGCAGCTTTGAAGCAATGCTCCGCATGGTAAGTAGCAATGCGATGTATGCGCCTACTCAGAGTACCGCAAATGAACAACAGAAAAACTCCTTTTTTTTCTCTTACAAAAGAAGAGAATTATACTGTGAAAGACGGGGAGGTTAGCAAGTGCCTAGACTAGCTGGCTAGACTGCACCAAGGAAAAGGGGCAGCGGGACAAAGAAATCGAAGGTTGATTTCCTGCTACACATAATATTTTACATACTTCCAGCAATAGGATATTTTAGTGGTACCATGGAGTATGGCTAGAAAACGGTCGTTGTGCCTGGGCTGTTATTTTCGGCCGTTTTAGCATCCGTTAATATGGCAGCAAGTTTGTTGTCATTCCGAGACAACATAATGCGTGCCAACAGCGTAATGCGTGCCATGCGGCCTGACGTGGCTTCACGTCAGGCCAAATGGCCTTTAGCTTCGCTTCGTTTTTCTGTATCTCACCAGAAATAAAATCTGTTCATTCATTCAAAAAAATTTAAAAAAAAAACTCACCGCGCTTTTCACCATGAATTTGTCGTGGAGGGAGGACGGCAGCATCACTCCGCAGAGGAAGTTGTAGATGGGGTGGATTGTCCGCGGATTCACCTTGCTCGGCCGAGTGTATCCTGCGAGTGGGCAGCACCACGTTTGTTTGTTACTTCGCGTGCTATATCACGCCATAGAATAACGAGTTACATAGCACATATTCACTGACTAAGAAAGACATTTGTATAGCGATCCATATGCCTTCCACATACGCCTACAGTGCCCACGTGAAGTCTGAAGTATGTATAGTATGTGTTGGTAGTTGTATACTTTGTAGCATTGATATTTGGCACAGGCCGGAACGCCAGCTGAAGAAGAGAAGGAAGAGTGTTGTTGCTGCTCGCGCTCGCTCCGCTTGACAGCTGGTCGGTTCTACCGCTACGTTTTCCACAAAGTAAACGTCTCTTCTGCTCACCACTAAAGGTGCACTATCAAGTGGTGGAGAGTGCTGGGTACCTTTTTCCATCCTGGAACTCCGCAACCGAACTCTACCTTCGCCATCAACAATGTCCATCGACGCTGCACAGCAGACGGCTCCTACATCTCCACCTGTCCACTGTCCCGGCGTCCCGAGAGAGCGAGATCCAGACATCTTCAACGGCACCGATGAGCAGGACGTCGAGGACTGGCTCTCTTCGTTCGAACGAGTAAGCGTCAACAACAGGTGGGACGAAAACGACAAACTGGGCCGCGTCCACTTTTACCTCAGAGGAGTAGCAGAGCTCTGGCTCAACAACCACGAAGCCGAGCTTACCGACTGGGCCACTTTCAAGACCACCTTCGCGGACGTGTTTGGCCGACCGACAGTGCGCAAGCTCCGTGCAGAACAGCGCTTGCGGGATCGCGCCCAACTGTCGGGAGAGGGTTTCACGTCCTACATTGAGGACGTCGTAGGCCTCTGCCGTCGCTTTGATCCTGACATGTCGGAAACCGCCAAGGTAAAACACATTATGAAGGGCATCGAGGACGATGCCTTCCACATGCTGGTGGCTAAAGACCCGCAAACAGTTTCGGAAGTCATCCAACACTGCCAAAGTTTCGATGAGTTGCGAAAACAGCGCATTTCAACGCGACGGCCTACTTTCGACATGACCAGCACGCCAGCATTGACCGTTGGTGCAATATCTCCAGAACAGACTGTATTGACCCCGCAAATCCAGCAATTTATCCGAGAGGAAGTGGCACGCCAGTTGTCCCTTGCCCCCTTGCTTCCCAGCAATACGCATGGGCTGACCTCGTCACTGCGCCAAACCATCGAAGAGCAAGTCTGCGAGGCACTTCCCCCCACGTACCAGCCACCACCTGTGTCCGCTCCCCTGACTTACGCTGACGTCGCGCGAAGGCAGGTACATGCGCCGTCAAACGTCGTCGACCCTGCCCACCAAGCGAACGCCTTCTACGCAACACACGTACCGGCAGGCTCGCATGTTCCCATTTACCGCCGTCCTTCAACGCTTCCCAACAACCCTTGGCGTACATCGGATAACAGACCTATCTGTTATTACTGTCGTCAGCCTGGCCATGTTGAGCGGTTCTGTCGCCGGCGCGTCCCTCACTCAGGCATTATTGATGGCACCTACGGCTACGCCCCCACAGAACCACCACAGACGCTGCCGTTCCATGCAGCTTCGGACACTTCTCCGCCGAGCCGCCGCGCCTTCAACCCACGCCGATCGCCTTCCCCGCGCCGACGTTCGCCTTCACCAATGCTTCGGCGTGCACCACCTGCCCAAACGGAAAACTGACCATCGCAGTTCCGGAGGCAAGAACTGCGCCACCGTCGAACTCCACAAGGCCTCGTTCTCTACCGAATAATGAAATAACTGTCTTGATTGAAGGTATCCCCGTTCAAGCATTAATAGATACCGGAGCTGCCGTGTCTGTATTGAGTGAAGCATTGTGTCGCAAGTTAAGAAAAGTTACGATTCCGCTTTCTGGTCTCTCCCTTCGTACGGCAACAGCGCATCACGTGAACCCTTCTATGACGTGCACGGCTCGGTTAATCATCCAGGGCGTTCTGTACGTGGTTGAATTTATCGTGTTTCCGCACTGCTCACACGACGTCATATTAGGCTGGGACTTCCTTTCCACACATCATGCCGTTGTTGATTGTGCCCGGGCCGAACTAGAATTGTCATCGCTCTCCGACGACGATTATAATAAGCCTTCTATTTCTCGTGTTGTCGTCGCCGCGGAGACTGATATTCCACCCATGTCTTCTGTTATTGTGCCGATCTCGTGCGACCATGCCGCTTTTTCGGACGTCATGTTCACGCCGTCAGAAGACTTCACTTCTCGAAAAAACGTTCTTCTGCCTTTTGCTCTTCTGACGGTCGAAGCCACTTGCGCAAACATTTATGCCACGAATCTCCTTTCTGTACCAGTCACCCTATTCCGTGGCGAATGCATCGGCCGCCTTGAGGACATCGATTGTGTTGGCACCAGTCAACTGCCCTATCAAGCAAAAAGCCTTGAGATCGCCAGTGTTACTTCCGCTCTCACATCCGCCACCTCTTCCCTCGACGTCTTCCTTCCATCGATTGATCCTGACCTTCCTGTTGACCAACGAACTCAACTCTTGACACTTCTCGACCACTTCCGCTCATCGTTCGACTTCAAACAAACCAGTCTGGGCCGAACATCTGCAATTGTCCATCGTATTGACACTGGCACCCACGCACCATTGCGTCAGCGTCCATACCGGGTCTCCCACGCCGAACGCCAAGTTATAGACGATCAAGTGTCTGATATGCTCAATCGTGGCGTTATACAGCCGTCTAACAGTCCGTGGGCCTCCCCGGTGGTACTGGTCAAAAAGAAGGACGGGGGCATCCGATTCTGTGTGGATTACAGGCGCCTTAACAAGATCACGCGCAAAGATGTTTATCCGCTCCCCAGAATTGACGACGCTCTCGACTGTTTGCAAGGTGCAGAATTCTTTTCTTCGCTGGATCTTCGATCGGGATACTGGCAGGTACCCATGGATGAAGCTGACCGCGCCAAGACTGCGTTTGTAACTCCGGACGGCTTGTACGAGTTTAACGTGATGCCGTTCGGCCTTTGTAACGCCCCAGCCACCTTCGAGCGTCTGATGGACAACATACTTCGAGGCCTTAAATGGCAGACGTGTCTTTGCTATTTGGACGACGTCGTCGTTTTTTCAAAAGACTTCGATACCCATCTTCTGCGCCTCGCAAGTGTCCTGCATTGCCTTACACATGCTGGGCTCCAACTAAATTTGAAAAAGTGCCATTTTGCCGCCCGGAAGCTCACCATCTTAGGGCATGTTGTCAGCAAGGACGGCGTTCTACCTGATCCTGGAAAACTCCGTGCTGTCGCCCAGTTTCCGAAGCCATCGACACTTAAGGAACTCCGGAGCTTTATCGGCTTATGTTCATACTTTCGCCGATTTGTCCGTAATTTTGCATCTGTCATGGCCCCTTTAACACGGCTACTTTCTGACACCGAGGGCATTTCGGCGTGGTCTTCCAATTGCGATAAGGCATTCGCGAAACTACGTCAATTGCTGACATCTCCACCGATTCTCCGTCACTTTGATCCTGATGCCCCTACAGAAATACACACCGACGCAAGTGGAGTCGGACTTGGCGCTATTCTTGCTCAACGCAAGTCTGGATACGACGAGTACGTCGTTTCTTATGCCAGTCGCACTCTTACTAGGGCTGAACAGAATTATTCAGTCACAGAAAAAGAATGTCTAGCCATCGTCTGGGCAATCACAAAATTTCGACCCTACGTCTATGGCCGTCCATTTGACGTCGTGACTGATCACCACGCCCTCTGCTGGTTATCGTCACTAAAAGACCCATCTGGCCGTCTCGCTCGTTGGGCGTTACGCCTCCAAGACTATGATATCCGTGTCGTCTACAGGTCAGGCCGCAAACATTCAGATGCCGACGCTCTCTCCCGCTCTCCACTTCCCCATGAACACGGAAGTACTTCTGTATCCAGCCTCGATGCTGTGGCACTTTCGTACGCGGACATGCCCTATGAACAGCGCCAAGACGCTTGGATAGCCTCTATGATAGAGTTACTGTCTCGGCCGTCCAAAGTTACGCCCAATCGTTCACTGCAGCGCACAGCTCGACACTTTACCATCCGCGATGGACTCCTGTACCGTCGCAACTACCTTTCTGACGGCCGCAAGTGGTTGCTTGTGATTCCTCGCCACCTACGTGCCGACATTTGCGACTCTTTTCACGCGGATCCTCAATGCGGCCACGCCGGTGTGATAAAAACGTATGCACGTCTCCGGCTGCGGTACTATTGGCGCGGAATGTACCGCTTTGTCCGACAGTACGTGCGTTCGTGCTCCAAATGTCAACGCCGAAAAAGCCCACCACACATAGCCAATGGACAACTGCAGCCGTTGCCTTGCCCCTCCCGCCCTTTCGACCGCATCGGAATTGACTTGTACGGTCCCCTTCCCTATACGCCTAACGGGAACCGCTGGGTGATTGTCGCCATTGATCACTTGACACGCTATGCTGAAACTGCTGCGCTGCCAGAGGCCACATCACGTGAAGTTGGCTTATTTATCCTTCACAATCTCATTCTACGCCATGGCGCGCCTCGTGAGCTACTCAGTGACCGCGGCCGTACGTTCCTCTCCGAAGCGGTACAAGCCCTTCTTCGCGAATGCAACGTTGTGCATCGGACAACCAGCGCATACCATCCGCAAACGAATGGAATGACCGAACGGTTTAACCGCTCACTGGGCGACATGCTATCCATGTACGTGTCCGCTGATCACACCAACTGGGACCGCATACTACCCTTTGTAACTTACGCTTACAACAGCGCCACTCAGTCTACGACAGGATTCTCTCCGTTCTTCCTCCTTTACGGGCGCGAACCTTCCTCATTCATGGACACCATTCTCTTGTATCATCCAGACGCTTCGGAATCCACAACTCTATCTGAAGTCGCCACCTATGCAGAAGAATGCAGGCAACTCGCGCGTTCCTTAACCGCCCAAGATCAAGCGTACCAGAAGAACCGTCACGACGAAAACCTGTCTTCGCAGTCATATTCGCCTGGCGCCTTGGTATGGCTTCGGGTTCCCTCATCTGTTCCTGGTCTTTCCACCAAGCTACTGCCGAAGTACGAAGGCCCCTACCGAGTCCTACGTCAGGCCTCACCGGTTAACTATATTGTTGAGCCGGTTCAACCATCAACAGACCGACGGCATCGAGGCCGCGAGACTGTTCACGTAGATCGATTGAAGCCGCACTACGACCCACCCGTCGTACCCGTTCCATAGGTCGCCAGGATGGCTCCTTTTCTGAGGGGGGAGTGATTTGTAGCATTGATATTTGGCACAGGCCGGAACGCCAGCTGAAGAAGAGAAGGAAGAGTGTTGTTGCTGCTCGCGCTCGCTCCGCTTGACAGCTGGTCGGTTCTACCGCTACGTTTTCCACAAAGTAAACGTCTCTTCTGCTCACCACTAAAGGTGCACTATCAACTTGTACTTACTGCTTTACCGCCCTATGATATTTCTTTCGCACGTATATTCGTTTTATTTCCCTATTCGCTCTTCTTTGATAAGAAGAGTGTCTTATTCCTTAGACTTTTATTTTGCTACTATGCGGTTTACTTCATAATATAACATTTAAGATAATCCAGTAGGGTCATTTGCAATAAGATTTGATGTGTCAATAAAGTGATAATAAAGGAAAGTTCAATGCATGAATATGTCACGTAGTGTCGTTCCACGCCGTCGAAGTAAAACGCTTCAGTTGTTAGTTCGCTTAACATTTGTCGAAAAAGCTGCTAATTTTTACGCGATGTAAAAAAAAGAAAGGGGATTTCATTCACTTTTGTTGAACCTACCTGTCAACAAACTGACGATGAGCCCAACGACGACAACTAAGACACACCCGATCATGCTGTACCAGACGTACGATATTCGATAAATGACGAGTATGTCTTTACTGAAACAAACAGAAACACAAAGAAATCGTAAGACTTACGAAGTCACACATCAGACATATTCACCACAAAGTAAAACGATTTCTACCACCTTCAAACGTGTGGAACAAGCTGCGTTTACATGCGGTCGGAAGCGTTTCTTTCGTATCAATTCAATAACGTAATTTTCATATTTTCATTTTGCTGGATTATTAACTAATATACTTCTAAAGATTGGCTGTTTTACAGTTCTAGACCTGTATATATAGAATAGTTTCACTAAGGATGATCTACACAAACGAGGCTGCTCAATGCTTATTTGGGTTTTAATTGTTTAACTTTCAGAAGGAATAGAGGGCTTGTAGAGCTCGCATGTCAAGCGAGGTCTGAAGCACAGCGCGTGGACTATAGGGCTCATTCACACCTTTCGTTTAGAAAGTCATTAGAAACCGCTATGAAACGAGACGCTTTCAAAACACGAGTTGTAGGCTCCGCATAGGGTATACATGACTCATAATGTTTTTTTTTTCATACCATCATTACCGCCACGTTTTCAGTGGTGTTGAACATTTGCGCACTGACACACAAACTGTGTAGGTTAAGGTAAATGGTGATTGTTTTTTATTCACGCCGCGTGTCCACGTGCAAGTCTAAATAGCCCTGTACAGGTATATGGTAACATACTTATACGGAAACACTGAACTTTACGTACGTTATCTCACAGATTTGTGTGATAAAAATAACTAGGAAAGTTAATGGCTATTTTAAGTACTCCAGAGTACAGCAAACTTATGATGTCTGCGCTGCATCTCATAATATGTGAAGGTGGGCATTAGCTGCATAAAAGTATAAATTCATATTTCACACTACCATCATTTTACCCCTTAGCTGTTAAACCATTTACTGTAAGGCACACATGTTACAAACTAACAAAGGTGACTGCATGAGTGCTATAAAGCACATGTTATACGAGGGCTCAAAAGGCTTACTTGACGGCAGCAACGTCGACAGGCCTTGGGTAGGTGATGTTGTTAATGTCCTGTCCCGTGGCGTTCAAGTAGTCGCCGATGCATCCGAGCACCGATACGGGCGCCTTGTGTACCGCTGGTTTGACGGCGAAAGCGCCGAAGCCGATCCAGAAACAGATGACCAAGGAGGTGATGGTGCCTACGCCGGCGCCCTGTATGCGTGCAACAAGAAACGCCGCATCACGGCTGCTTTTCTGCGGCTATCTGGCAAGAACACTGGGTGGTGCATACTATATATGTTACTCTCAGGAGAACGTATGCATTGACTTTCTTTTCTTCAAAAGTGCAGCGTGAATAAAACTAGGCAAGGAGACGCGCTGATGCAGCATTATTCAATAACTATAAACCAATCAGTCCACACCAAGGTGTAACGCGGCTGATCGGTATCTTTGAGAAAAACGGTGGACTTTATGAGACATTTGCTTTACGTAACGTCTCGTGCTGAGAGACAGCGTTGTACATATGGGCCTACTGGCCCGTGCAGAGCCATGAAAGTGTTTATTCTTCTTTTTTCAATGACTGATTTGTAGAGCATTACAAGATATACAGAGGACACTGGAAAAAGGCGATGGAAAATAGTAAGAGAGTCGAACAGACAACTAGAAGCGCTCGTTCACGATGCTTTGTTTTCATTATAATAAGCTTCCATGCTATTAACATTTTACTTATTATCTATCATTATTTTTTGAGTGCTTGATTGCAGACTCGTCGTCTGCGACAATAAGGTGCTCAATAAGAAGCTCGCTGAGTTCTTCACGGATTTGCCACACGCGACTCGAAGACAAAATTAATCCGGTGAAGGTATATCGTACCATGCTTTTTATGTCGACATAACTAACTTTCATTATTTACTCTCACTAATTTATATTTTGTTATTTAGCTTTTCCTGATTCATACATAAATTAATATTCAATTCATTATTATTATTGTCATATAAATGCACAGTCATGCCCCTACTCGCTCTTGCAAGGCTTTCGCTTATATAAAAGTCAAGCGATCCTTTTTTCTCCACTTCTCTCGTGCCGAATTTTCGTTCGAGGCTCCGTTTCCATGAACCCTGTAAGTCTTTCGCTACTATACTCACAATGCTGTTGGCGCAGGGGAAGAAGATGCCCAGCGTGAAAACACCCAGGAGCGGTCCACCGACAATTCCGAAGATGGCCAGGGCAGCCTGAAACGCAGATTTCACGGATCTCACTCCCATATGCGCGCTCTTAATAAACAAAATTAAGGGAGCACAACCGCGTACAACGGACATGGTCCCGACCTGATAGCCTTAACGCACTAGTGTCATTCAGCAGATGAGATGAGAGACTGACCCCCATATTCACAAACGCTCCTCGACTCGACTTTCTCCCTTCACCTGACAGAGCTGAGCACTGCACCACCGCTCAGCTGAAAATGGCGCTACGCTGCTCAAAAATCGCAGCAGATTATGGCTGACATGCAGTGACTTGCCGTGCCCAGAGACGGCGCTCCAATCTGCTTTCTCAAGTGAAGGTGAAGCGTTGAGTGAAGGGACGTTCTAGAATACGGGGGTTACTCAGTTCCACATATACCGTGTATCTCGGACTCATGTCCCACCATTTCTAACATGCTTGATGCGTCATCTATAAAAAAGCCGACTATTGAAACTTAGGCACACATTAGGATAACTTTTAAGTCTTGCGAAGTTTCTTAATGGCATGGTAGATTTAGTACTTAAAACCCCAGTTATGATTATTTGTTGCTTTCCGAGAAAGCTACTGGTTGACAAGATCTTCGCTTCTGTGAAGTCTAATAAGTTTCGTAAGTAGCAGTAGTGCAGTAAGAATCAACTAAAAAAAGAAGAAACGTCATCTCTGGTTTTAAATAACTGAGCTGTCCCGATGACCCGCTGCTTCCGTGTCACGTGGCAAGCATCACTCTTACCACACTTTATATTCAGAGTGCTTACTTGGAGAACGTTGCCCATCATTTGGGCTCCGTAGACGAGAGCAATGGCGACCAGTCCGTACGACATGGCTGGTTAAAAAAAAAGAACGAAAAGGCTACAATCAGCCATTTCAGCCTGCACACTCTACATCGAACTTCAGCATCACGATAATATCTCCAAGCTAACGCATTATTATTCTTGGCAAAGATCCTTTTCATGCTTACCAATCATCTTCGTGAGATTCGTAGCGTAGCGGTCACTCATGTCTTTCTTGATGTACCTCTTGATGATATCTTCTAGTGTGACGGCAGCAAGAGAGTTTACACCAGACGAAACCGTGCTGCATGCATTGAAACACAGTTACTGTAACTGGGCTGTAGAGCTATAAGTCGTACCTCAAACGTCATCACGCTGTAATGTGGCTACATACTAATCAAGTAGCCATCAATACGAAATTTGAGCCACTTAACTAGTTGTAATCCAAGCTACATGTGTAAAAACCACGTATGCAATGGCAAAACTAAAAAGTAAGAATATCTCGTGAGGATGGTAGTATGCTACATAACGTCTAAAACGCATTGTATTAGAGAAAATGTAATAAAACATATTTATCGAGGCATAGCTGACGCATAGTGAACTCCCACGGTTACACAGTCGTCATTTTTCGTACCACTTCAACACGAGAAAAAATTATCAACTTGGCTTAGTTCGCAAAAGACGATTACATGCATGAGACGATTACAGCTAATAATCTTGCTGTGCTAAATGTGTTATTGCATTGAGAACAAGGTTGACGCATAACTTCTAAAATAACATTGCGTGAGCGTCGATTGCGCGGTATGTTCGCCGAGCTCGCACATCAAGAGGAAACGTACGAGGCACCCTCTAGTGGACCTCACATGTGCTGTTGCCTACAACGCACCCTGTCACAGCTGTTTTCTCTGGAAGCCTCCATGAAATTAAGCGGGGATTAATATGGCACACCTGCTCCTGCAATGCACTTTCAATCCGTTATTGCATTGCTGGAATGGTCATCAAAAAATAAACATTAAAAAAAGTCGTACCTATGCGACCTGATAGAAATACCATGAAGCTTACCTCAGAGCGCCGCTGAATATGCCGGAAACGAAAAGGCCCGGAATCCCATGCAGGCTTCCGAGGATGTCCATTACGTAGAGAGGAAGTAACTGGAATGAAATTTCGATGAAGTTTCAGTTTGCGTAACCTAATTAAAAAGCGTGTTAAGTCAAGCTGCGAATTGTATACGGGAGATATAACTGTTGAGGCATATAATTTACTGTACAAGGTAATGATGCTTGACTCGCGCGTGCGCTTGCACTATTATCGATATGCTGTATGCCTAAATCTTTCGACGCGTTGCCTCAATCATTGGACAAAGCTGTGCACTTAAAGGTCCCTGGTTCGTTGCTGAGTTTTGGCACCAATGTAAAATCCGAAGACTTCGTTCGTAGATAAACCGGGTTTTCAGGACTTCAGTACAAATACGCCTGTCGAGATCGCGCAGTGCGTCTCAACTCTGCCGTTTATTCCAGAAAAAAAAAAAGAACCCAAATCCTCGTACCACGCTCCATTCGTCGTTTTTCTCGAGTTGTCTTGTCCTAGCGTGCACTATGTTCGCTGTTTTCAACAGGGGCAGCAGGCTTCAAGGGTGCCAGTATCGAGGGAGCAGTGAGGAGCGCGATTAGAGTGGAGAACGCGGAAGCCTTTTCCGAGCCCGATGAAAACGGGACGTCTTGCTTGAGGAGAAATATCAAACGCCTTAACTGTTATACCTTTCGCGTATAGCCCTTCTCCCCCCACATTCTCGATTGATAAGTTCGTCTATTGCACGGCCATGTGCAGATAATTTTTGTGCCTTGTTTCTTTTTCGCCGTTGTGCGCCTTTGAGGTCTTTAGTCGGCGTGTGTAACAGTTTGCGAATGTAGAGCTTCAATGTGTAAGCAGTGCGCATGATCGGAACATGGCGGCAGTGTGCTGGTCCTCAAGGACGTACGTGAGATTCGATTCTTTGCGTGCGTTTCCTGCGCACGCATACAGCTTCGCTCGGACGCTCGAACAAAATAGCAGACGGCTTGCATCGAAACGCGGCGACAGGATGACTGGGGCGCGCCTTCACTTTTCGACGTGCTACGCAATGTAAGGGAATGCAACTCTTTCGAGTAAAGCACGAGGCACACCGTGCACTGGACAGAGATCGCTGTCCGCTCGACTGAGTCGCACCAAAACGTGTTCAGCGCGTGCTGTTCGCGACCGGACGGACCTGCTGCTAGCGCAACACGCTGAGCGAGAAACTTACGAAGGTAAGTCGCTTGGTGGTCTCCATTTAGTGTACAACGCCGATGGGAATCAGACTGGTGAGTACAAAGTTTTCTTTTTTTCTTGGTGCCACCTCCTAAGTGAAGGACTTAGGAGGAGTACTCGAAACCAGATCTTCGAAGAAATGTTGACAATTTCGAAAGAATACTGCCATAAATAAAAGCTTTAAGAAGGCACCGTTAGGCCCTGGCACCTGAAGCACATCGACTGTCAATAAAACATTTCCAGCAGACGGAGTTACATGATAGCTCTCAATGCACTTCGCGTACGTGCAGATAAAAACATTTCGGATGACGTTTCACGGTTGCGCAACGTGACGTCTCAATGAACGTGAAACTAAAACTGCCTAATGTCTTGAATTATTTCTTTTGTCCATGTTTGCACGCCCGGTTCTTTTTTTTTTAAGTAATGAATACTTACAAACTAGCTCAACTCAGCTCTCTGTTATTCTAAACAAAAGAATGACCCATTATATTTTTCATTTAGTCACTAACGCAGTATGAAATTATGAGGCATGCCAGATAATTAAAATATACATTGATATATATTTATTTGAAAAAAAGTACACATGCACAGCCTTTCTTTCTGTAACACATACATTTCTCTCACCAACCGTAGGGAATGACGAAAAGTATTTACCTGGTCAGGAGCTGTCGCTTTCTTCGTCAACAGCGGGTCACAATCTTGGTACCTGGCGTACATAACTAGGCCGGCCAGAGCGCAGATCACCATCAAAAACGCCAGGCCAGGAAGATTGATCCAGATGGCTCTGCAGCAATAACAACCACAGATGGCATCCCCCCTTTCTCACGGTCACATTTATAGCGCCTGATAATTATCGCTGACCTCTGCAATGCCTAAGAGAGAGAACTTTAACCCTGGATGTAATTACCCCGGAGTTGTTTGGACGAAGACGAAGTGTTGCTGTAGCTGAGTGTTTGCCGTTCATCTCCAGACTTTTCACTTATTTTCGCAGTTATACAGGGAACATAGTTCCCTTTTCGGCGGCGATGGAAGTGGACTCATCTGCACGCCCACCCGAGTTGCCGGCGACAGCGCCAGCAGCCTCAAGGAAGCGAAACTGCCTTTCCAGTGACAGCGACGCTACCCTCATTGACACTGCCGAGAGTGTCGACAGCTCCGACAACGAATACGTGACCGTCATGAGCCAGAAAGCAAAGCGGAGGATGCTCAGGGCATCCATGGACGCATCTGCTGGGAGGGCCCCGCAAAGCCCGCCGAGGTACACCATCCTATTTTTCCTACGCAACCATCCATCAGCATAAGACTACTGAACAGGCAAGCTGTATCGTCAGAGCTCGAGGCACTGTTGCCGAACAGTATTAAGGATATCAGAGTGAATCCCCAGAAAAATGTTGTAGCAGTGGACGTCGCTGAAGCGTCAGCGTCAGATTCACTGAGCAAAGTCACCGTTCTTGGCGGCATGAATGTTCACACTATCATTCCGCTAGGAAATCAGGCAACTACAGGCGTCATATATGACATCGATGTGACCATCTAGAACGAAGATCTGCCGATTCTTATTAAGCCTGCTAATGATGGGCCCCAAATACTACAGGTTTGCTGTCTAGGAAAGTCGAGATGTGTGAAGATAGACTTTAAGAGTGATTGCCTGCCGACACATGTTAAGGTGGGTCATTTCCGACATGCTGTGCGGCCATTTGTCCCTAAGCCGCTTCAGTGCCGTCAGAAATTTGGTCATGTGAGCGCCATCTGTGGAAATCCTACAGCATGTTCTCGTTGTGGTGCACCACACTCTGCCCACAACTGTAAGGCTAATTCCTATAATTGCCCGAATCGCCAAGGGTCCCACGACGCCACATCAAAAGAGTGTCCGCAAATAAGGCAGGAGATTTCGGTTTTGAAGAAAATGGTGAGGGACCGTTCGACTCACCGAGAAGCAGTTGCTGTCGTCAGGCGACATCGTTCTCGTCGCAGACGCTCATCTAGAAAGCCTGCCCACAGTATCAAGCCTCCTGTAAAGCCTCCTTTCGTTGAATCGGCCTCACCACCACCGCCGGACAGAAGGAACACGTGCACTGAGAATGCTGCCCCTGAAAAGAAGGCTCTGGAAGAAGCATGACCATCACTTCCAAGGATAACCCCTGCAGAAAAACTAGAACGTGCACCGGTAGCACCACTTTCTGCATCTCGCCAAGATGAGGCGACAGAGCGTGACCGTGAAATTCTGACGATGATCAAGTCTCTCATCAATGCCATTCGCACGCTTATAGGCAACACGAACACGCCTACAGCACGATGCGCAGTGCAAGTATTGGATGCCCTGAGTCCAGTGCTTGCCAACTTCGCATAGACAAAATGGCTCTTTCACTGCCTTCATTCCGAGATGAAGTACGAAGTGCGACAGTTTTACAGTGGAATGCCAGAGGACTTGAATCACGGATCTCATGTTTTCGACAGTACGTTTTCCGCAACAGATTTCCTATATTAGTAATATGTAAACTAAATTTGTCAAAAGCGATAAAGCTTTCTGGCTACGAAGCCTTCACTTCATCGACTTGTGGTGAGCCCAGCAAAGTAATTATATATATCTGCACAGATTTCACCTACATTCCACATTTGTTGCAACTCCATAACGGAAATCAATACGTATGCCTCCGCGTTGCAAAGAAGAAGGTAGCCTTCACGCTTATCGGCGCATACATCTCACAATCGGGTCAGTTCGATGGTGAAAGATTACATGACATCTGACCGCTACACTTGGACCTTGGATTGTTATTGGTGATTTCAATGCTCATCACTTCCTTTGGGGAAGCACGAAGATTGATTCCAGAGGCCGGAAACTTGCTGAATTCGCCTCCCACCACGAACTTAACGTTATGAATGACGGCAGTCCAACGTATTTGCATGGTTCGAGATATAGCAGTTGCTTGGATCTTCCATTGGTGTCACGGCAATTCCCCCAACAAGTGCGATGGTTCACTGATATTGAGACTCACGGCAGTGATCATATTCCAATGTATCTGAAGGTCACAGGTTTTGCAACTTCCTCCTCATCAACTAACAGAAGAGTTAATTGGACAATGTACAAGACAAAGGTGGAAAAGGCATGCGATGATATCGCGTGCGGCCTCGAGGAGGTAATGAAAAATGTGATGGAAGAGGTTACGTGCGCCTTTAAATACACATCAAAACGTACAGAATTTGATATAGAACTTGAACGACTACGAACGATTCATAGGCGGGCGGAGAGGAGGTACAGGCGCACTAATTCAATTCATGACCTCAGAGACGCTCGACGTCTACAAAAGAAAATCCAACGTCGAATGGACAAGCTGGAGGACCAACGGTGGAAGAAATTTTGTGAATCACTCGATCCTCGCAAGCCTATGTCCCATATATGGAGGACGGTGCGTGGCGTTGGCTCGACTCCACAACAGCGTCCATTCAGCACATTGGCTCTCCATCAATGCCGCCTGCAGGTTGACGTTGCTGAAGATTTCTGCGTGAGGATCGTGGGCAATGTGGTTACCATGAGTGACGAAGTTCTCGGAGATGTTCCTGTAGCACGAGTTTCTGAACTGAATATGCTTTTCTCACTCGAGGAACTGGATGCAGCTCTAGCCACCTGCAGACGTTCATCGTCACTTGGGCCGGACGGTATTACATACGCTGCTTTATGCCGTCTTGGAAAATCGGCCGAGACCAGCTACTAAAATGCTACAACCAGTCATAGAACGATGGCGTCGTTCCAGAAAGGTGGAAATCCAGCCCCTTGGTACCAATCTTCAAACCTGGAAAGTCACCGCTTGATCTGGCATCATATCGATCCATTGCGCTATCCAGCTGCGTGGGGAAAATAATGGAAAGAATGGTTCTGACACGCCTCGAGTGGTACCTTGAACGCTTTAATATATACCCAGAGGCCATGGCTGGTTTTCGAAGAGGCCGCTTTCTATTGATAATGTCATCGACCTCGTAACCTCTGTGCAACAACAGAAATACCTCAAGCGCATCTCGGTTGCAATGCTCCTCGATGTGAAAAGTGCATACGACAACGTAACGCACGATGCCATCCTAGATGCCTTGGCGAACATTGGAATCGGTGGAGAAATGTTTCGATGGATTCGGAGCTACCTACAGAGGAGATCCTTCTTCGTGCTTACTTCGGAAGGCAGCACCGTTGATCATTACACCGCTCGTGGCGTTCCACAAGGCGGGGTTCTCAGACCTACGTTGTTTAACCTCATGATCATTGGCCTTGTACAAAGTCTTCCTCGATCGGTCAATATATCACATACGCTGATTATATATGTATCTGGGCTTCAGCAGTGACACGACTCCAGGTACGCGCACGGCTCCAAAAAGCAGCGAGAATAACGTCGACGTACCGCCATGCTCGAGGCCTCACAATTTCCACCGAGAAGTGCGCCTTAGTCCCTTTTACCGCAATCCCATGATCTATTATCCTGTTTCCATTGACAACGTGAGCCTTTCGTATACGAGACGTCACCGATTCCTGGGCGTCAATATCGACAGAGATTTCTCGTGGAGTGCTCACATCTTGCACTTGTAGAAGAGGCTCAGCTCTATCACACACGTGATGAGATTTCTCAGTGGTAAAACGTGAGGCACATCAGTGTCATCTATGCTTCAGCTGTACAGAGCGCTCTTCTTGGGATATTTGCGGTATAGCACGCCCGTGCCTTCCAACGCCGAAAAAACTAACATCAGGTTCCTGCAAAGGATTCAAGGCCAAGTCCTCCGCACATGCTTGGGGCTACCTGGGTGCGCTAATACGTTAGCAACAATTGGTATTGCTAAAGACCATCCGATCATGACATATATAACTGTCGACACACTCCGGACACATATCCGTCACATATCCAGAGTGCCTAACCACCACCTTGCTAGCTTGCCACTAGAAAGACCAAAGGCAGCGTTTTCCAAAGTTGTTGCGGCTAACCAGAATTCCATCTCGTGGAGATTCTCGCCCGCAACCATACCACTATCTCCAGAGTGGTGCATGAAAAGACCGACTGTGCACCTTGAAGTGCCGGGGATATCTAAAAGGCAAGCCTGTCATCTGCAGCCCTCAAGCAGATCTCACTGGACCTTTTGCATTTGTCGTATGCTAACTGAATTCATGTTTACACGGACGGTTCGGTCTCGGGAAGTTCGACAGGTGCCTTTGTCACACCATCTCGATCAATCACCGTCAAATTCAAGACATCACACGTCACGACATCTACTGGATCCGAGCTCGCCGCTCTTCGAGCCGCTGTGGAGTTTGTTACGCAAGAATCCCCTAGTAGATGGGCCATTTTCTGCGACTCCAGGGCAGCCCTTCAATGCGTGCGAAGTCTACGACGTGGAAACTACCACCAGATGGCGTATCGTATTAATGAAATTTGTCATCGCGCTGCTGATCAAGGACACGACATTGTTTTACAATGGTTGCCGGGCCACTGTGGCATCAGTGGTAACCACCTCGCCGACGACGCTGCCCGATGTGCCCACGATGGAGCGTCCACACTGTTAATACCCTTGTCAAGAGTAGACTCAGCTAGAGAACTTCGTCACATCGTGCATAATGCCACGCTTGCGCACTGGAATTCTCCACTTAACTCCAGTCATCGCCCTAAGAATCTTAAGTCATTACTCCAGAAACAACTGCCATCCAATATTTTTCGACGTGACGCTACAATGCTGTGCCATCTGTGGACTGGGGTAGCGTTTACTAAGTCATTCAGCCATCGCATTGGCATGGCGGATTCATCCATGTGTGAAAGCTGCAACTGTATAGAGACTATTGAACATCTCTTGTGCCACTGTGCCCAATTTGATGAAGATCCCGGACTCTCCAGTGTGCCTTGAATAGACTCGATGACCGTCCATTTAATGAAGCGAAGATATCAGGAGCCTGGTCGCGCAGCACATCAGCACAGAAAGCCACACGAGCCCTCCTGAGATACTTGACAGTAACTTCATTGAGGGACCGCCTGTGAAACTCGGCATTGTGTGTATGATGCGACATGTGTCTATCCTTCTCTCTCTTTTTTACTCCCCTCTCCCCTCCCCATGTGTAGCGTAGCAAACTGGACGCATAGTCTAGTTAACCTCCCTACCGTTCCTACATTCCTTCTCTCTTCTCTGTCTTCTCTACCCCGGAGTTTATTTTAGATGCGAAGCAGCATTTTTTTCTCGGGGCTGTGTCCGTCCCACGGTGACCGTCCGCTCCCCCACTGCACAAGTGCACACTCCCCCCACCCCCCTCCTCTCTTCGCGTGAGCGTAAAGGTGGAGGGAAAAAAATGGCAGAGCGCTGCCTCCGCTTTGTTTCACCTCACTCGTTCATCTCTTTGCCACAGGCTCACAGCTGAGCGTTAGTATATAATGCCACGCACGCTTGCGCCGTTGCACTCTCCTAGAAGCGCTGCGAGTTCACTTTGCGGCACACCAACTCCAGGCACAAATGAAATATACAGGGAAACATGAAAATGGAAACATGAGCGAACACCAACGCTGCTTCGCACCTGCACATGGTTCCTTTTATGGGAAGATGGTGTTTTTTGTGCGTGTGACCTGTACTAGAAAAGACAGGTGCTTGGGCTAGTTGGTGATTGGGAATCAACATATTTGCACAGCACAATATTCGCACAGCGCTCTTTCTGTCCTTGTCTCTTCTCCTGTAGTTACGTCGTAACTACTCGTAGTCTTGCGCTGTGCAAATATGCTGTACTGGAAACTTTTGCGAGCGTCGATGCTCGGTTGATACCAGTGTATTCGCGTGGGTAAGGTACTCATAAACGTGGGTCAAATTACTTGACTGTATACTAGAGCCAGCGGAACCATTGCAAGATTTCAGGCTTACAAACACGTCGTAAGTCGATTAGCAACTACAGGAAACGCCACAGGCTACGTGAATCTCCACAATTAAGTACGGATGTTGATACAACTCACATTCGCGCACCCTTTACGGTGGAAACGGTCAGGTATCGCTGGACCATCGCTTGGCTGACTGCGTACACCGACATCCAAGTGAAGAAGCAGCCGATGATGAGGCCCCACACGGTGTGCCGCTCAGTCGGGTCAAAGCTGAAGCTGTTGAGACACAAGATAACGAGCAGCAAGTTAGCTTAATGTCAAACCAGCAATAAGGAGAAGCGTCCCGTCAGGTATTGCGCAATGAGGCCCCACACGGTGTGCCGCTAAGTCGGGTCAAAGCTGAAGCTGTTGAGACACAAGATGACGAGCAGCAAGTTAGCTCAATGTCAAACCAGCAATAAGGAGAAGCGTCCCGTCAGATATTGCGCACGTAATATAGATTATTTTCAGCACAAACGTCAACACACAAAAAAACTGTCAAAAGCACCCAGATCAAGCGGCACAATATTTCTCCACTTTAACTTTTTGTAAACTATGTAATGATATAAAATGTCACTAAAACTACTGTATGAAGGACGTTTTTTGATGTATAGCATTTAAAACTTTGCCTGTTGAAATTTTATAAAGCAAGAATTAATATAAGGCTGTATTCAAATTGGGTGAGGACATTGCAAAGTCACCATATAGTTTTCAAGAGCTAAGAAATAATTTAACTGTATAGTGTGCTATATCAAGTGTTTAAATGCAAATATTCAATGAACTAAGCAAATTTTATTAACATTTATTGCTTTAACACGAATGGAAATTTCTGAGAACTTGCCTAAAAGTTGAGGCATGTATACGGCGTTTTTTATTCCCATATAATACAAAAACGGGAATTTAACCTGTAGTTTGCTCGCATTTATTTGTGCTCAGATACTGAAAAAGCAAGCTTGTTTACTTTTCTTCTAAAAGGGCCGTATAAAAGTGGTACTACTCAGAAGTTCGCACGATAGGTACACCAGTATTTAGCAGATGAATTGAGAATAAGTAAAAGGTGAGCATCAGCAAATTGTGACTTTGTGAAGCAGTTTCAAGTGTACGAAAGTATTTCTTTTGTTACATGAATATCATGCAGAATTATTTTGATTAATATCAATTTTAACAGAAGTAGCGCATGCTATAGAGGGCTACACAAACGTTTTGTATTCACAATAAACTAATTTGTTTTGTTCTCAAGTTGTGAACCCTATTACTGTGCAGAGCTTTAGGTGATGTTGAAAGCCAGTGTTTGAGGACCTGTGTTTTTACGTGAGCCTTTTATCTACTAGTGTTCACGTTGCGCTGAGAGTACAACCAGACTCTCAAAGTATTGAAGGATTCAGTAGTATTGAAAATTAAGCAAGTTGGTAACCATTCATTTTTTTTTACTTCTCTGTCTTCGTATTTCGTGTTGTTTACCTTAAAAAATTGAAGGACTCTGATACCACTAAAGACTATTCAGATGGCGAAACTAAATTAAACAAGAACGCAGGACCGTGGATAGCTCTGGCAGGGTTAATGTTTTTGTTTATAGGAGAACACCACTGAGACGATGAGTTAGTGCCGTAATAATAAGCTGACGAAGCAGTGTGCATAGAAGAGATCGACTCACTTGAAGAATTCTATTCGGCTTCCGTCGTAGGCCCTGTTGTAGACCACCTTCATGCCGCCGATGTCGTACGCACCGCGGATGGCAATCATCAGCATCGAGCCGAACATGAGGCATATTTGGAACACGTCCGTCCACACGACCGCTTTCATTCCTCCCTTCAAAAAAAAAAAAAATGATACTATTGCAGTCTGGATCTGTCCCGGGATAAGCATGGGCCCATTTATTCCTGACTTCACGACACAACGATTCGCTATATGAACTGTCTGTCCTCAGCACCATTTCTTTGTCCTGATAATATACTGACGCTCTGTAATGGTGATATCAAACGAAAACAAATAAGAAAAGGCGTGCATAGGGTTGCCGATTTGGGGGGCCTTGGTTTTCCGCAGCCCTTACTCACCTCTTATCCTCCTGTTGATTGTGTTTTATAAAAAACAAGCTGCGATGCAACGAAGAGAAAAATGAAGCGATGACGTCATTATCACAACGGCATGGCCTGCCATTAGCCTCATGGTTACTGGTGGTAAATATTGAACGTGAACAGTTCTTTGAATGCAACATCAGAGGTAGCCGGCCGGCATCATCTTCAAAAAACATTTATTTCCATAACTTTGAGTGTTAAAAATGGCGCGCAATGTTGGACAGAGTAATGATACAGGGCAGTATTCACGCCACCCCATAAGGTGAATAGAGGTGCAGCCACCCCTTTTGCCCTCTCCCGTGTACATGCATATGCGAATGAGCACACCGATGAAGACCTGTTTGTGCGAAGTCGGTGTGACTGCCACCCCCCTCCTCCCCCTTTTTTGGTATACAAATATGCGCCAAAAAAGTGTTACGCGGACTACCTGATTTTCTAAAATTACTCCTGCTATCAAACAGTCATCCCTGTCTCTGAATGCTGTCGAGTGACTCAGATAAAGAATACCACCACTACTTGTGTTTATGTACCGTTCTTGAAAACCAAGTCCATTGTGGTGTTCGCTGATCAAAAGAAATGAAAGAAAAAATGAAATACAATAAATATGCATCTAAATTGCATAATGTCTATTATTATATACTGAAGTAAAACAGACAATAGAGGCCGTCTGTAGCTCGCCCTCGAAATGACAGAAAGAATGATGAGGGTTTGCGTTTCCGGATTCTCGACCGACTGAAACCTCAATCTCTTTATCTCGCGGAGACCTCCCAGCGACATGAATAACAACGTGAAAATTAAGGACTGTGACCGAGAAGCAGAAAGCAAATAGATCGAGACATTCAACCACTTGTGTCTCGGCTCACGCTAACGCTTTCATTACCGTACTGATCAGCGCCACGTATACTCACGATGCTTGTGTAGAAGGTGCAGACAATGCCTATGGAAAGCACCGAAGTCCATACGCTGATTCCCGTCACTGCAGAAAGGATAATGATTGATGTCACGGAAAGGAGCACTGATTCCGATTCGTAACAAACGATCTGTCTTTGACGCGACTGAGTGAGCTTTCGCCTTATCTGGCGTATAAGACCATTTCATTGCAACGCACCATTATGTTCTATGTCATAGCATCGTTCCGATGAATGACACATATCAATCAAAAACTCGCGTGTGTGGTTAGCGGGCGAGCGTCTACATTTGTATCCCTTCGGGTGGAATCTTTCGGTGGGAGGACGCAGGTAATCGAGTCCTCAAGGTGAACAGATGTTTCGCAGTCAGTAAGTCTGTGCAAATGTCGGGGGCAGTAGCATGACCAAGTGGCAATCTGTATGATCTGGTGCACGCGACTGCAAATGGATGAGTGCCGTTCGAGGAAAACAGAAAAGTGAATGCAGATTTTGTTCCTGGAAGCTAATGCGCACACCGTATACACAAAGAACATAAAAAATATTCTTCGCGACCGTACGCAACCGTATTTGCTAATGTGTTGTCCACATGTAAGCTGTTTCAAACGTATTACGAAGTTTATTTCTTGAGTTTGATATGAATGCAGCATTTCACATCATTGCAACAAAAACAGACCACGAGAGCACCTTAGCTTGTGGTACTTCAGTTCCTCCAGACAGATGCTTAGATGAAGTGTATGTGTTCTGCTAAAAACGTATGAATATGTGTACGGATGTTGCCGTTACTGCAATTTAAACATGGTAACTTCTACTCAGCTGCACATTAATCACACTTGTTGATATAGGTAAATGGTACCTTTGCTCTCATCAATAGCTATGTATGTCTCCGAAGTACACAGGATATATCGTGCAGGATGTAATATGAGACTGGCAGCGTATACGTAAGGCAGTAGTAAGAATAATCAAAAATGAGCAGTATTTAGCATCAGTGACATACGTTATGCTGCCTTATTACTGTATGCAAAACATGACTCCTAAATTGAAGTATACATGTTGCTTTTCTCACAACATTAGATGCTACACTCATGAACTCATGAACAAGTGAACCTACATGTGTTGTTATTGTAATGTTTATGCTACAAATCTACCCCTATATAAAAGTACGAAGACAGTTATGCTGTGACAAAGATATCCGTAGTCTCTAGGGCAGTGTCATTGTGTTTCGCGCGCTTCATTTTACCAACTGCGTTGTATATATCTGCGTCTTCTATTGCTGAGTGACATTCTTTATTGTGAGGTAATAAAAAAATAAAAAAATCGTCGGCCTGTACCATAAACATATAGCAGACAAAGCACTGAATGACACACGGTCGGAGTATTACTTATTGCCGTGCAAAGCTTCTAAAAAAAGTGCTATCTTCAGCTCGTACCAACCCCCATCGATACCGATCACGCGAAACTGCACGAGATCTGCATGATTCTGTGGGCTTTACTGTGTGTGAGAACTACGTCTACAGCACATTCTCAACCATTAGTGAGGCCGTTAACCATTCAGTGCCACACTACTGAGACAATTTTGTAACTACGGAACCTCTTCGCAGGTAGAAGGGTAATGCGGGAACTGCCGCCAAAAGGACGACGGGCAGACGTGGGGACATCAACTCCGCACATTGCTTGAGATATTTCAACTCGATTTTTCCTATTTTATCCCACTCTCTTGTGGACTGCAAGATATCGCGCCACTTCACTTTTTATAATACCCTCATCTTCTTTCCGTCTCTTTTTCGAGAAGGTCCACAAACATACGAGCACTGGACGCTGCTGAGCAGAGCTGAGGGCTTTTGGGTGGAGCTGCGGGGCCCTCTTCGTATTTATTAAGACTTGATCGGAAGCATTTTAAATCAGTCTTAAGGCGGAAGAGAAAATGATTTTCTTCTCGGCAGTGTGGGTATCGTAAATCCGGACGTGTACGCAACAACTTACACGTATATATAGTTAATTACATGCAACCAATTGCGTGCTATGGGGGCAATTTAGGTGTGGAATGACGTTTTCACTCGGTAATGTTAATTGTACATTTAACCAGTTAATCCTGTAACATGTAACGCACGTTTTCAAACTTCAACTCGGTGAGAAATATAGTATAGAACCAGCAGTAGTGTCGCCGGCATACTCCTTGTAGCACATCAGTGCTTATATTTGTTTCCTCGCCTTAACACTTGCTGATAGGTTAGCTAATTGAACGAACGATGGTACGACTGGATAGCCATGACCAACTGACTTTTTTATTAGCCATATATAGAGTGCCTTCATGAAGCACCCAAACGCGAGCATCGAGGCAAAGCAATCAGCCTTGTGTGTTCATTAGGTGTTCGTATGTTACAACACCCGCCTTCTCTGCAGCATGCACATAATAACGAGCTTTTGGCATTGCTAGCTATTGCTAAAGAAAAACACGCAGAATGACAGGCAAGAATTATTAAACATCGTTGGTAATGGAGGTGAACTGTATATTTGGAATGGCAGAGCACACATCGAAGTAATTATGTTTAGGTTATTTCTGTTTTAAAAATGTTGAGAGGGATTTAATGAATTAAATTTTATAAATTCACCAGTTACAAGTTTGTGACCGATAAACGGTCACTGCCCAACCAAATCACCGAAGAAATGAACGAAAAAAGCAGAATCAATCGAGGGGCCTTTTTTTTTTGTGTTCGATGCAACCATGCGAATCAAACAAATAAGGAAGTGACAAAACCCCACAGGGTGCACATGTGCTTTTTTAATCGAATCGCAGCAAGTATGGGGTAAACAGAAAACTAAATGTAACACACGAAAAACCAGCTCGCCGTTGTTCAGAACCTGAACCAACACTTTTTTTTTTCAGATAGAAAGCGTCATCGCAACCAGTTATTTTTTCTTTTAGATAGAAGTATGTAAAAGCCAACAAAAATTCACACAAGTTGCGCTTATCTAATGCTTGTTTTCTTCAAAATTAAATCTGAGCTAAATACTACGGGTGTATCGCGTAGAGTACATGCGTCGCCATACTGAATGCGTCGCAACATGTCCTAGACACGTATTCAAAAGATAGAATGTGCATGCACGCAAAATTTTGCAGACCTACGGGTCTGAGACAACCCGTAAACAAATCTTGGCTGTACAGGAGCGGCTATATGCGCGTTATCTACAACAGCAAATGAATGCTGTATACTACTCTCGTTAACTATACTCACCTTGAGAAAGGGCAAGTGCGGGTGCGTAAAGGACAATCGCCATATAGATGAGCTGCGGGTAATGAGAGAACGAGTAAGCAAATTGCTCGTATTCAAACTCGGAGATAGTATGGAAAGACGTACAGTACATTCTCACCATTTGTAAGGAGAACGTGACGCATCCCATGGCTCGAATAACGTGGTTGAAGCGAAGCTCCAGGTACTTCGTTATGAAAGAGACAGAACAAGAGTGATACATCAGAATTCATGCACATTGCGCAGCTAGTTTTGTCACACAAAAAAGTGTAGCAGCCCACAGTCACTCATAGTGAAATGACGCCACGGGTTCATATAGCCGCTTATGAGCATCAAATTAAAACTTGAATCTTTGTTCTTGTATGGTGTATATTCATTTAATTGAGTATCGAATAATGAAATATATTGAAGGGACAATTTTTTTTTCTCCCTGTCCCCAAACTCACCAATAGGATATCATGTCTTGGAGACAGACCACTGTGGGTGTGAGAAGTATTGTCATACCAGGTAGAGACAAAACCGTTTGCGCTAGTTGGTAATTTGCGGTTGAGTTTTACTCTCGGTGTTATAGAAATATTGCAATTGAATTTAAGGCGAGGGGGAGGCTCAGTCGCGTGCCCAGTTTCATCCTGTTCCTTTCTTTACCCTTGTCTCGCGTTGTTCATCTGCTATTTCGAACGGAGACGGCACTCGTCTCTGTGTTCTCATCTGTTTTTGAGCCTGAACTTGATATGCATAGGACGCAATGCATTCAGTGCCGCGTGGTGTTCAGGCTAGGCTACCAGGCAGCCGTAGTCCCCATACTTCAGTTTTCATTCTGCTGTCTTCGTTGTGCCCATTGTCCCTGAATGTTTAATTGTCCCTTGAATGGAACCGTGTGCGCCAGCACCGGAACTTCAAGTGAAACTGACTACTTCTCTCTTTCCGTGCTTCAGCGACTGTTTTCCGCAGTGTTAAGCTTGCTGGACATGACACTGTAATACAGTTCGGACTATAATGTTACTGCCTGTTTATAGCGACGCCTCGCCTCGCTACTTTCTCCTGCAGTTCACCCAACTTCACCAATTATCGCGCAGTTTTTTTTTTGTATGGTGAAATGAACGAAAATATTCTGGCGTGGTCGATGTTTTTGAACAACTCAGTGAATCACACGGAAGGCAATAGCTAACTCGAAGCTCGACTGTAGGAGCTTTCTCAGTCGGATATCACCCCCCCCCCCCCTCTTTGTTTTTAGAGGAGCGGGGGGAGACGGGCAGAAAGACGCGTAAAACCATACATTACACGCAATGCTTCTTACCGTCGTAAGCATAGTGGCCAAATATAGCTAGGAGCACAATCGTGCACTTTTTGTCCTTACACGTGTCAATTCAGGCTAGTACTTTTTATAGCGGGCAATCGGTGTGCAAGCGTGAAGATGGCCCGGTGTATATACCCACTGGAAAATACGCACAAAAAAGCCGGGTTTCACTACGAGTGGCAATGCGCGTAGTTGCGAAGCCGTTCCTCCCCACGCCGTGCACGTGCTGAACGCGCAGTCGAAGAAAACAAGAGGCCGGATTTTGTGGCAAGAGCTTCAGTGCAACCTTCTATAGTTGTCGCATTTTTTTCCCCTCTGCGCGCAAGTCTTCACGGTTGCCTGCAGCCACTGACCGGTTTGTCTCTTGGCAGTCTCTACTTTCTCTCTTTCGCTTCCGCGGCTGCTGTGTCTGCGTCCGCCACTTACAACCGGTTCACGCACGAGTTGGGTACCAGCGCTGTTTGTCTGCAGCAACAAGGCCCGAAAGTACGGTGCAGCGTAGCGAAACCTATGTAGTTGTAGTTAGCTAACGCCGGATAGACCAGAGAATTTCAACTGTTCACGATAGTAGTCAAGAAATGATTGCGTACACGATACGTACGCGCCTGCTTATGACTGAACATGGACCGTCTAAAAGCGATGAGCCGCGCTAGGGCTAGCGGGTTGTCCAATTAACGTCACATGAATAGGTCTTCTGGCTTCTATATGACACCACTTTCTGTACACATGGCTTCGTTTGGACAGTTGTTTTTTTTTTAAAAGCGTAACTTTGGGAACAAATTCATTTGCGAGCCTGACGGTAACCCCAACAATCAATAGCGTGTTATTTAATTAGCTTGTTATATTGTGTTTATTGTCATAATTGCCTTTCTTTTCAACCAAGAAACAAGAGCGTAACAATCATGCCTTTCTTAATTTGTAGACCATTTTGCGCGAGACGATGGTCAGATGTGTGGGTGCTCGTTCATGTTTAAGAACATTTGACAGAGGCAGGGATTGAAATTACCGATTGCAAAGCACGACACCACCAATTCGACGGCCATGACGCGCCGCGCACTGTTCATCGGACATCTCCTTCGCAGTCCCTGTCGAACCAAACGCGTTTCCTAACATGGCGCTCCTTTCGAGGCCTACCCAGCTCATTTTTGCTCTCTCTAGTCTGTTCACCTCCTTCGGCACGTGCTGTACACTGTTTGGCCTTCGGAGGCGTCTCTCTTTTGCGCAGCCGCACACTGCATCGCATGACGTGTTCCCCGTATATTCAACCGCAGTATATCTCGAAATTACCTTATTTATATTTCGAAGTGTTACATTCCAAAAGCACGTTTTTGATTACGAAGCATGCCATTTAGCGGGGAGCTCAGAGTAATTTTGACTTTTGACAGCCCCAGCTTCTCTTGCGTATGCACCCGAATCCGAGCACATCAGTGTTCTTGCATTTCGTCTCCAGAGAAGTGCGGCTAGAATCAAACCCGCGAGCGCGATGTAAATAAAAAAAAATAACTAATGCCAGAGCAGCTGGGCTATACGGAACCAGACCTTGAGAAGCTCGCTTAGGTCGCAAACTAACGATACTTGGTTTCACGTAATCACAATGAACCAAATTTTCATTACGAAGAACGTAAAAGAAACTGGCACGAATTCACATGTCTATGCGGTAACAAAAAAAAAAGTCTTACGGACCGAGGGATATGAGAAAACGTTCAATTTACGAGCCCTATGTCACTTTAGACAGCGCAACTGTTTCAATATGTACTAGTTTAGGCTTGTTAGTACAGATTCAACATGAGCGTGTTGTTCGCTGATGTCATTCAAAGAAAGTTGTAGATTACATAAACCCACTCCGTGCATAAACCGCACAGACAGTTTGAAGTATGCATTTTTCCTCAGAACTACTCGTGAGCGGGATAGTCTAAGGCCCGCGGTGATGTAGAATCTGCACCTGTTGATTTATTTCTTAAATGCACTGAACAACCGCTAACAAATTGCATTTTACTGAGTGCACAATCACGCATTTGTCGTACATACGCAATGATTCGCCTTCTGTTCAATATGTATCAGTGTTACTCAAAGTAACTTCTTTTTTTATTGTTATAAAAATGCTGATGTGTATATTATTTCTATAGGATAACCACACTTTTAATGAGAAGCAGTGTCGTGTTTTCTGTATGAGGTTTCGCACATATTACCTTTTTTGCCAAGTATGTGTGATAATATTCAATTATGTTACTTGTTTTGCAGACAGGCTGCTGTGACCATTTGAAAGCAGAATATCAGGCGTTGTGTCAACGCTTGAAGAAATAATACTCAGAAGCCGTAGTCCAGGGATTTCTCACGTCGACTATACGTACCAATGAACCACCTGAAATTAGAATTAGCGTAGGAGTCCCTAAACCGATACCGTAACAGGGGAACAAACAAATGCGTTTTTAGCCATCGCACGTAAATAATTGCTTGCAATAACTACAAATCAACGATTGGCTGGTTGTCATTTCAAAAAGACGAGCGCTGGTCAACGACCAACTTTTCATAACCAAAATAACGCAGCGTGCATTCCAGCGCCTGGTTATAGCTAACGCACACGACGATACCGTCAGGTGGTCATGCAGTTGTAATACTGCGGAGGCATACCGGTTGTTGAGCCTGTTGGAATAATCAAAGCTCTAAAGCACCTTGCGAAATAATATGCGGCCAGTTTCCTGCTTTCCAACTCGTTTTATTATTGCGTAAGCAGCCGCCACTACAGCTGCCATAGTGAAAATAGAAGCGGCACAATCTTGCATAACGAATACCGAGTCAGGAAGAACCGCGGATACCTTTTCAGCGTTCAAATTTCAGTAGGAGCCGTGCATACGTGATTGTATTGCGTAATACGATATGCGGTTACACTTTGAAAACCATCGGCGAATGTTTCCACCGGGCTATCGTGAGATGCAGTAATCGAGGGATAATAGAAGCATTTAAATCGGTGTAACTGTTGGCAGGCTGAACACGGTCGAGTGTGACGCCATCGGGTACAGTTTGTCTGGCTATGATTATTCCAAATATATTCAATGGGGTTGTAAGGTGACGGCAACAAAGTAAAAGAAATAAGATATTCATTTCAGGGCCTCAATGTAGATACTAAAATGCGGAAAGATCAATTTTAAGCTTGATTTATTAGCGTAGCTTAATATTGCAGAATTGTTCGCCTTAGCCCCGTTTTCATTTGCGCTAGTGAAGCTAGCACTGTACAGAGATACATTAGAAACGACAATTTTGAGGCAGTCACTTGTTTCACCGTAATATATCATTCATCAGCGGTTATGACAGAATGCCTTGAGTACTGTGTTATAAAGACTGTATTACAAAAAAAAATGTGTTGAGAAAATGAACGCTGAATTTAGTGGATCTCTGTATTATCCTCAGAAAACAGTTATCTTAAGCTTAGCTAAAAAATATTAAGAGAAACAAGTATGCAATAAATGGCACCTTACACTAGGTGCAGTTCTTGCTCTAGAAATAAAAATGGAATAACACGGCATATATAACTGAAAAAAAAAAACACGAGTCGCACTAACCAACAGAAGAAAATGAAGAAAAAAAAACGACATCACAGATGCATTGTATGTGTTTGGTAGTGCACGCCATTGCTTTGCATTATGATGAACTAGCCAACTTCTCAAACGGCTGTTTTGCTATAACCTATCATATTTTGCGAGCCTTATAACTCTGGTGTTAACGAGACAATTCAGAGTTGACGCTCATCTTGTCTGCACCACGAAATTTGTGCTCGCTATTATTTTGCTTATACTTAGCGAGACGGAAAACTAACTCCGATCGCACGTCTTTATGCATCGATGTTGTCCTATTGCCGATGGATACAGTTGCGCCGCAGCAGCGGTGATTTC